TAAGTCTCTACTTCTTGGTTGGCTTAGGAAGGCAAAGGGTAAGCTGATTTTTTTTTTTTTAGTCCTAGAGTAGGAAAAAGTCCTTGTCTTTGTATCTTTGACATTCATCCATTCAGGAAATATTTGAGTTACTATTACCTATTAGGCCTCAGTCTAGGTGCTAGGAATACAGTGGTGGATGAGACAGTTTCCTACTCACCCTACCCTTTTTTTTTCTTTTCCTAATTTTGTAGTTTGAATGTTAATCATTGTTTCATTGTCTTGTAGGAGATGAAAGAACTATGGTCTTTGTTGAAACCAAGAAAAAAGCAGATTTTATTGCCACTTTTCTTTGTCAAGAAAAAATATCAACAACAAGTATTCATGGGTGAGTAGATTGATATGATTTCCTAGTAAGGAGGTAACTTCTGTGTATCATTTGTTAAGAAATGTCAGTATATTTAACTAGTATAAAATCCTGGAATTAAGATCTCAAGATCTAAACTGTTATTCTTCATCTTCATTTTAAGTTTTTATAAGAACCAAGTGGCAGGGATGGGCGAGTTAAAGGTGTATCTTAGACTTCTTATGAGGATTGGTAACTTCTCAAGACATCTTATTTAAAAGGCTCTTTGATAGAGCTAGGTGTTTCTTCAGCTGAATCTAATCTTTCTGATTAATCAGTGAATGTATAGAATTCAGAGATTATGCTTTTTAAAAAGCAGCAATTTTTGAGGTGGCATTCTGATCAAGTAGCATATTTTTTGTCAAGACTAGAAAGAGATTATTAATAGGTAAGATTTGATGTTTGTCATATTTGAGTTTGTATTTTGGCTCTATGTATTAGCTGTCACCTTACCTCATCTGCAAATGGGGTTAATTGTCCCAACCTCAAAGTATTATTATGAGAATCAAATTAAATTATGACTTGAAAGGAATTAGTATAATACTTGGTGTGTAAGAAGTAGACATTAATGTTAAATGTTGCTATTTTTTACTGTTATTAAAAAGAAATTTATGTGTCGAACTTCAATGTTTCTTTTAAATAATTTTCTTAAGAGCTGTCCTAATACATACTTTTATCTTCTTTCAAGTGATCGAGAACAGAGAGAGAGAGAACAAGCCCTTGGAGATTTCCGCTGTGGAAAGTGCCTAGCTCTTGTTGCTACTTCAGTAGCTGCCCGAGGGCTGGATATTGAAAATGTTCAGCATGTTATCAATTTTGATCTCCCTTCTACCATTGATGAATATGTTCATCGAATTGGGCGTACTGGTCGTTGTGGAAATACTGGCAGAGCTATTTCCTTTTTTGATCCTGAATCAGATGGCCATTTAGCACAGCCTCTAGTGAAAGTACTGTCAGATGTAAGTTTTTTATTTTTTTAAAAATTTTATTTATTTATTTATGGCTGTGTTGGGTCTGCGTTTCTGTGCGAGGGCTTTCTCTAGTTGCGGCAAGTGGGGGCCACTCTTCATTGCGGTGCATGGGCCTCTCACTATCATGGCCTCTCTTGTTGTGGAGCACAGGCTCCAGACGCGCAGGCTCAGTAATTGTGGCTCACGGACCTAGTTGCTCCGCGGCACGCGGGATCTTCCCAGACCAGGGCTTGAACCCTTGTCCCCTGCATTGGCAGGCAGATTCTCAATCACTGTGCCACCAGGGAAGCCCCAGTTTCTAATTTTTAAAACTGAATGGATAGTGTTCTTACCTTGTCATTGAAAGCGGACATTTTATATATATGTATTTTAAGGAAAAGTAAACTGTGCCAATCTTTGAGACTTTATGCATGTTGTATATGAAGTTAATTTTTTCTTTTAAAGGCTCAACAGGATGTTCCTGCATGGTTGGAAGAAATTGCCTTAAGTATGTATGTTACTGGCTTCAGTGGTAGTACAAGAGGAAATATGTTTGTATCAATTGATACTAGAAAGGTTAGTTGAAGGGAAAAATTTAGATCTTGGCTTTTAGTTATTCTTTGTAAATGTTGTGCTATTGTGAAGTAACTATAACATTCAGTAATTTACCTATTCTGTTTTCATACCTGGAAGAATACTTTAATAGTTCTCTAAAAATTTTATATACATATTATATAGTTTTGGTCTTAAAGGTGAGGAGTTTGAGATTTATGCTCAGACACCTTCCTTTCCCAATTCTGCTGGCATTTTATATTCTAATTTGGGATCTTCTGAGATTTTTGTAGGAATTCTTTATTTTTTGAATTCTGACCACATTATTAAGTAAGAAAATAATAGAGGTGTGGTTGCATATCTTTTCTGTTGTCAGTTTATAGGCAACATCATTTTTATACAGGAACAATGAGCATACTAATCATTAAATATTTATGCTTATTCATTGAAGTGAAGAGCTTTGTTTTTCCACTTGCCAAAACTATTGGCTTAAAGTTTTCTTGAAATCCTCTGTGCATTTAGACTTTCCAGGTTTATACGTACCTTTTTTCAAATGGATTGGAGTCAGTTGGAATGAAATTTTTTATGTATTTGGGGAAGACATGGTGGAAAGCTTGAGTCTCAGTCTAGGCAGTGTAACTTTAAAGCTACATAAAATTAAATGTTTGTTTGTTTCTTTTCTTTTTTAAATTTTTTTTTTTTTTTTTTTTTTTTTTTTTTTTTTTTTAAAGAATTACCAGGGCAAGAGCTCTTTGAACACAGCAGGGTTTTCTTCTTCACAAGCTCCTAATCCAGTAGATGATGAGTCATGGGATTAAAGCTAAAACAACCTTCAAGTTTGTGGTACAGTTTTGATGCAGAGAAGAAAATAGTTTTGATTTTTGCTTTTTTAAATCGAAGTATGAAACCTGGCGCTCTTGTTTCTCCTGTCCTCTGTTCTTACTCCCACCCTTAAAAAGACATCCTTACTGACTAGTTATGTGAAATGCTAAAAGTTACAACGTTTCAGTTACTGATACAAATGGTGTTAACTGGAAAGATTAAAGCATTCTAAATGTCTTGCTTATTTTTATTGTATTCTTCAGGGGTTTTAGACATATTTTATGTCTAAATGCCATGTCTTAGTATAGTGTTTATTGATCCTATAACAAACAGGACAAAGGATACACTTTTGGTTAAAAATTATTGGGTCCTATTTTTACTTAAAAGGAGCCTTTAAACAGTAGTGAGTCACTGAAATATAATGACATGATTTTCATGACACATAGACAAGCTTTTAAAAGTAACTTTGATTTTATATCATCAGATATGTGATGAACATAGTTAAATGTTTGCAATGTGAGCTCTGTACTCAATGATACAACTGTTTGTAGTTATACTATATAGACATTCCTTGAAAATAAAGGATGAAACTCTTTTCCCCCTAAGTTTTCCAACAGCACTTTTAATTTTTCTTGTTACAGGTCATAGTTCTCAACTCCTGTCTTTTGAAATTTTATTGAGTCTTGTGAAACCAATGAAGTGAACAAAAAGTCATATAAGTTGAATATAATATACATTAATACACAGACGTAATAATGAATGTCATTCTTTGAACTCAAACTATATCAATAAAAAACATTGCTGTTCACTGTTATAATTTTTTGATATTTTAATATTGAGGGAAAGAACTCTGTTTTTTTCATTTACCATTATATATCTTAAACTTACTATGTCTAGAATGTAAGAAATTCTTAATAAATCATTAAATGAGTGAACCAAAACATTAGGACATAAAACAAGTGAGATGTAAATATTTAGGGGGACAAAAATAATCAGTTTCAAATGTATGTTTTTATCGCTTAAAATATCCAAAACAACATTTCCCTAGCATATATGTCTTGTTATAGGAATTTGGTTAATAAATGAGGCATCACATATGAAAAGAGGAGTGGAATATTCAACAGATTCTGTTGGGATAACTAGTTAGATGCCTTCCCCATGCCATATTAAAAATCAGCCCTATGTGAATTACATAAAAAATTACAACTACAGAAAAATACAGTTAAATATTAAACCTTTGAATTGGGAATGAGAGTTGACATTAAGCTCAAAGGACAGAAATCATGATGGAAACAACAAACAGATTTGATCACAAAAGAATTAGTTGCTTATGTAAAAAGGTTAAACAGTAGACAAGGAAAAGTATTACTGTGACTACAGTGGATTATCAGTGTATAGTTATTTATATGTGGATATTTAGGAATTCTATTAGACCAATGTGCAAAGAACAGACAACTCAAAAAGGGAGGTTCAATTTTAAAAAACATAGGACAGGAATTCCCTTGTGGTCCAGTGGTTAGGACTCTGTACTTTCACTGCCAGGGGCCTGGGTTTGATCCGTGGTCAGGGGAACTAAGATCCCACAAACTGGAAAAAAGAAAAAAAAGGGGAAATATTTAACTTGTACTGTTAATCTCACTTCTGGGAAAGGCTAATTTCCAGTTTGTTTTGTTTACAAAGAGCATTTATAAGTCATTTCTTTTTTTTTTTTTCATTTCGTCAAAGAGCTTCTTGGTCATAGCCTGATTGCCTTAAAGCTTTTTTGAATTTGCTTGATTTGTCAGATTTACCATAATATTACTGAAACAAATGTAAAAAGAGAAAGAAAATCATACATGATCCTACCATCATTATAAACCAACTGTAAATGTCCCAGTGTTCAATTACTTTCCTCATTTCTAGGTATAGATTTGAATAATTTCTTTTAAAAATATCAGAGTAATGGATACACAGATGACTAGAAAAAAAAATCAAGGTAATGGATACACATATGACTAGAAAATAAAATTATATAGAAAGATTAATAATAGAAAGCAATATGCTGCTGCCTCTCCCTTTTTTTTTTTTTTTTGCGGTACGCGAGCCTCTCACTGTTGTGGCCTCTCCCGTTGCGGAGCACAGGCTCCGGGCGCACAGGCTCAGCGGCCATGGCTCACAGGCCCAGCCGCTCCGTGGCATGTGGGATCTTCCCGGACCAGGGCACGAGCCCATGTCCCCTGCATCGACAGGCGGACTCTCAACCACTGCACCACCAGGGAAGCCCGCCTCTCCCTTTCCAAATTGCTATTCCACATCCCACAAATACCTTTAATCATTTACAGTGGTTGCCGTCATATCTTTTGTTTTTGTCTCACCAAGTTTAGACTTCTGTTGACTGTGTGTGATAGATAAAGATCACTCACCTCACTCTTACTTCCTTGGTAACTTTATTATGTTTTTCAAGTTTTATTGAGATATAATTGTTTTACATCACTGTATAAGCTGAAGGTGCATAATGGTTTGGCTTACACTGTACTGTGATGATTACTGCAGTAATCATCGTCTTGTATATAAAATAAGAAAGCAAAAGAAGAAAAAAAAATCGAAACTTTAATATAGTTAGAGGTACACTTTGTGAGATGATTGGCAAAGGCACCCTTTTCCTTCCCTCTATTTCTATTTTTATATTACAGCATCTGTAAACTATACATTTATATTTCCAAAGTTAATATTTGCATCCTATTCTATAATAAAAAGTCTCTCTTGTTATATCTACAGGTTGATTCTAAAATTGGAAATCAATAGACAAGGTTTACATTATACAAATATTGTTCTCTGAATGGGCCAGTTAACATAGTCTGATTATCTTTACTATTTTTCCAATTTTGTCACCTCTGTGTTTCAAGGGAGAATTATTATAATTATTATAAATGCCAGGGTCAAGTGAAAATTGATCAAAACCATTTCACATACCAGTTTGCTTTAACCTTGGGCCATACTCTTAGAGCAATTTATTTACCCTGTAGTTTGATTGTCTTTCTTTTTTCTTGTTGGGAGAAGAAACATGCCTTTTTCATCATATTATTACCTTTCTGGATTCAAAGTTAGTATTGTCTGGAAGCTATATCCCCAGATATGTTGGTGTTGTTAAATTTTATGAGTGGACGTTTTAATTTTGGCGAGTACTTGGTGTGCTTTGCAGATCCCTGGGAGCGTGTTGTATTTCTTTGATAATTTTTCCTAAGCTTTCTCTGTTCTTTCTTTATGGAACTTCTATTAATTTTGCTAGAACTGCAAAATTAATCTCTAAATCTCCTATTCATGTTTTTTCATCTTTTTGCTTATGTTCTGGTAGAATACTTACCATCTTTAAACCTGTTTAAAACATTTTTAGCAATTATATTTTATTTCCAATCTTATTTTGTTTTCCTAAATGTTGCTTAATAGTGAATGTTCTGCTTTACTAATACTTGTTTAATCCTTGTAATTTAACCTGAGAAATCTTTTTTTTTTTGCATTGAGCATTTGTTTTCCTGCTGCTTGGCATCAGAAATCTTAAGCCTTTATCAACTTCTACGTTTTATGTATATTGAATGCTGGCTTTACTCAAATTCAGTAATCTGTTCATTTTTGTGCGTTTCCCCCCAACCCCTAGAGTCTAGTGCCCTCTCCTCTCTAACTCTGTTGTTCATCTAGGCCTCCTCTCAAGAGAAAGGATAAGTTGAGATGTGAATAATAAAGCTTAGATTTTCTTCTATTGAATTCTTTGCATTTTAAGGAGTCAAAGGTTCTGGCCTAAAGTGGGAAGCTCAAACTAAAGTGGGAAGCTCAAAATGTGGAATATCAAGTATTAGCTGTACCAGTGAAGGGATAAAGATGAAGAATGGTCCTGATTTCGTACTGGGTACATACATGACTTACTGCATATGTCTGTTAGGGTCTTGGGGTAGAATAGTCCTCGTTTTCTGATTTAACTTTTCAGCATTGATAACATTTCGTCATAGGGCAGCAGCATTAAGTTTACCCTCCCACACTTCCCCTAGCTTTACACTTTGAGCTGTTTTTATAATCCCTTGATTGGTCCCCTAATTCGGGAGAAGACAGCTCTTCATGTTGTTTGGTTTGTGTGCTCTTTATAGATTTTTAAATATGTTTAAAATGGCACTATTAAAATTTCAGCCACACAACAGCGTGCATGATGCTGTGGTCGACAGTGGTTGTCTGTGTTCAATGTCGGCATTAGATTTCCCCGCTGTACCCCACGCAGAACAGGAAACCTAGTATACCTCCTTTGTAAAAGTCCAGAATGGACTTGTATTACGTCCCACGGTGCTGGTGGTGAGATAAGGCGCTCGTTTTACGATCCGGCCAGCAGAGAGCCAAGCCTCGGCGGCCAGACGGCTGTGTGCGGCCGTGGCCACCTCGAAGCAGCCAGTGCTGGAAAGCAGCTTCGTCTGCATCCCGCCTCCGGCTCGTGGAGGCGGCCCCCGGGGAGGGCCCTGACCTGGTTGGTGGTCCTTCCTCTCCCGGACCTGGCAGCGTTCTCTCCGCAGCCTCGGCAGGGGAGTGCTAACTCGTGCTGGGGGCATGGGGCGGCAGGAGCCTTCCCCCCGGGGCGGAGCCGGAGGTTGGCCTCAAGGGATCTGAGGGACTGCGATGAGCAGCTGTTACGAAGGCGTCCCTGCCGCCGGCAGCTCCGGCTGACCAAGTCCAGGTGAGTGTGGGGCGTGCGCGCGTGGTGGGCTGGCACCGCGGGGCTTTCCTCCAGCCTTCCCTTTAGAATCGCGGCTCCTAATCACTTTGGACCGCGTAGGTTATCGACCCAAGTTTTACTTCAAATCTCGGGGGATTTATCAACCTATGTATAAAACCCATTCGCAGACCCAGCGAAAGGCCCCAGAACCGAAGATTAAACGACTCCTGCTTTAGAGACAGTGGTGCCCCGAGGAATTCCTCGTGAAGAGAGAATGGGGGTGGGTGGGTGTGGGATGGAGTGGGGGAACCAGCAGGGTTAGTGTGCTGAAACACTGCGGAGGCTGGAAATTGCGGTGAGCAAATAATTTGTCTTAGAGCTTGGGGTCTGGCGATTCAGGTTAATCCTTTAAGCGACTCATTACTTGTTTTACTGTAATTTAGGAGACTGCCAAATTGTCAGCGTAGGGCATTGAAATCTTTTTTTCTGTGGGGGATTTTGCATGTGAGAATTCCTTGAAAGATTTTTTTCTGCTGTCAGTATTTTCTGGATTTGGAGTCTCGTGTATTTGTAGAATTCTTTTTCAGCATTCAGGAACAAAACCCAACTTTCTCTCCCCTTCTGTATATATGAACTTGTTAATTCTCCCAAAGTCTTGGCTATATCTATTTAACTTGATTTTCTCCTTAGTTTTGGGAGGGGGCTACCATGTGGGGGGTAAATTCTCAACAGAGGTAAGACCAGTTTAAAATATTCAAAAACTTGTATGTGTAGGATGAGAAGCTCCTGTGTGACAAGGTAGGTATGATGCTTCATTATAAAGAACTAGTTGGAATAACCTTAACACTGGCTTTAATGTTGACTTGGTGTTGCCTAGCACTATCAGTGATCTGCTTTATGCCTCAGTTTGCTTTTATATAAAAGAAAGTAACTGGATTTTTCTTCATTCGGTGTTCACCCAATGAAGATGCACACAGTCAGTGCATGCAGTACAATAAAATACTTTTAAAGAGGCAGCTTTGTGTAAGAATGCAGGGTATCATAGCCAAATGCTGGTGCACTTGTATTTTTGTGTTCATATTCTAATATTGAATTAGCTGATATATCTTTTTAAAAAATTTTTTAAAAATTTTTATTTTTTGGCTGCGTTGGGTCTTCGTTGCAGCATGTGGGCTACTCTTTGTTGCAGTGTGCGGGCTTCTCATTGCGGTGGTTTCTCGTTGCAGAGCACAGGCTCTAGGTGCATGGGCTTCAGTAGTTTTGGCACACGGGCTCAGTAGTTGTGGCTCACATCAGTAGTTGTGGCTCACATCAGTAGTTGTGGCTCATGGGCTTACTTGCTCTGCCACATGTGGGGTCTTTCCGGACCAGGGATCGAACGCATGTCCCTTGCATTGGCAGGCAGATTCTTAACCACTGTGCCACCAGGGAAGTCCCTAGCTGATATATCAACGTTCAATAAATAGTTGATTCTTGAGAAATATGTCAGAGATCACATTTGCAACTATAGTGCTTGAATTGCTTATAAATATCACAGGGGCATGAGTGACGCTTGTTAATTGACTATTTCTGCATCTTACTATATATATCATCTATCGATTGTTTCATCAGTCATAGGATGCTCCACCACTGGAGCGTCTGTAGATACTAATCAACTAATGCATTTGTGCCAGTTAAATGCAGTGCAGGTTCTGACAATTTTAACATGTTTGTTCTTCAGCTGAATTATCTTACTATATTACTAGTCACGGGGGATGGTGGAAAGTTTGGATTCAGTCATTTATTTCAATTCTGTAGACAGAATTACTGCTGCTATAGTGCAACAAAGTTAAAACCAGCATTTGAAGTACAGAATGTTTTGGTGCCAAAATAAGTACAGTTTATCATAATATGGATATTATGAATGAAATATGTAGAGAGAATGATGCTAATCACATATTTAAAATAAGTAGTAACAGTCTTCTTGTAGTTTTCTCTGTATATAATTGGGTAGGAAAGTGAACCCTACTCAAGTCAGAAGACTCAGATTGATCTAAGTTTGAACCCGAGCTCAACATCTTACTATTTGTGTGCTTTGGGACAGGTTAACTTTTTAATCTTTTTATTTGAAATAAGATTTCATATTATAAAATGCACAGATATTTAGTGTATGGCTTAAATTTTTACCTACATAGACTTAAAACCATTGTGTGAATCAAGATGGGTAACATTTCTATCACCTTCTTGTTCCTTTGCACTCAACTCCCTTGCCCAGAGGTAACGACTATTCTGATTTTTATAACCATAAATTATATTTGTCCCTGAATTCTATATAAATGGAATCATAGAGTATGCTCTCTTTTGTGTTTGGTTTTCTTTAGGATAGTATTTGTGAGATTCATCCATGTTGTGTGTATCAGTAGGTCTCTTTTATTGTGTGGTGTTCTGTCATGTGAATATACTATAAATTGTTTTTCCAATTTCTTGTTGTTGAGCATTTGAGTTGTTCCCAGTTTTTAACTACTATAAATAAAGCTTCTATGAGTATTCTACTACAAGTCTTTTGGTGAACACAGCCCTCAGTTCTCTTAGGCACATACCTAGGAGTGGAATTGCTGGATCATGGGGTAGATATGTGTTTAACTTTATTAGAAACAGACAAAGAGTTTTCCAAAATGGTTGAATCATTTATTATAGCCACCAGCATTGTAAGAGTGTTCCATTTGCTTCACATCCTCACCATTTTCTGGTATTGCTGGCTTTTAAAATTATAACCATTTACTGTGGTTTTAATTTATGCTTACCTGATGATTAGTGATGTCGAGCACCTTTTCATGTGTTGGTCACTTATTTCATTCTTTCTTCACCTGTTTACATGTCTACCTGGTCACAGTATTGGCAACAGTATACCTGGGAGTGGTAAAAGGGGTGGAGAAAAGGTGGAATCAAGGGGTGGGGTGCTATCTTGCTGCTTGGTGGTGACACCAAGAATTGTGAAATGGTTTATCTTTTTTTGAGTCACTGATTATATCTACTAGGATGACACTAGCTGCTTTGACAACTCCCAAAACTTCAGTGACTTAACAAGATAGAAGTAGGTTTTTGCTCACCTAACTATTCAAGGAGGGTGTTCCTGCAAGGTAGGTGGCCTCTCAAATTGTTACTTAGGACTTCAGGCTTCTTCCATCATGTGGCTCTGTGATCTTTGGTACATGACTTCCAAGGTCTTTATGCTTCTCTTCATCAAACCAGGAAAAGGGGAAGAGGTGGGTGGGGGAAGGCAGAGGTGCACATATGGAAGATTTTTATGGATTAGGCAAGGAAATGGCATATATATCTCTTCTCACATTCCACTGTTGAGAATTTAGTCACATCTAATTGTAAGGGAGAAGGTAAAGTAGCCTTTTCTGTACACCCAGGAAACTGGGAATCAGCTAGCAGTCTCTGCCAATACTGGTGAAATGGGATGTTCTTAGGAACAGTCACTAGATTTCTGTACTAAACTCAGGACAAAGACTAAATTCTTGATTTGTTTCAAGTAGCAAGGAACCTGTGTAAACTGCTAAGAAGATATTAAATAAGATACCTCCCCATTCTGTGTTTTTGCAACCTGCCTGTGCTGTAGGAGTTGGAGAGTGACCATAAAAGATAATGATAACTTAATAAATCCACTTTGTGCTGGCTTAAAATGCTTTGGTGAAAGCTCTTATCCAGTGTAATTTTATTTATGTAATATCTTAACATTTATGAAATATAATTTAGGATAAGGTAATAAAATTTATCTTTCATTAATATTTCAGGACTTTTTGATATTAAAACTTTAAAAAAGTGTTTAAGTATTTTTTAGTGACTTACTAGAACACTACTTCTAAGACTGTCCACGGGGAAATGCGAAGTTGTTTCTTTCACACCTTTCCCTTGAGCTACTAAGATACTCCTAATATATTGTAGTTGCTAAGTCATTCCACTGATCTTTTGTAATTAAAATCGTCAATGAATAAGCGGTTGCCTTGAATTATTTAAACCCTGGGTCAGCAATCTTTCTAGCTCTTGAGTCCAGTGCATATCATTGTTAGAAGGAAGAGAGGGAGAAGAAAACAAGGGAAGAAAGAAGGGAACAGAAAGAAAATGAGTGTGAGGTGAGGTGCAGTAGAGCTTCCTAAGTAGCCCTGCTTTTAAGCCTTCCTTGGGCAAATCATTGCTCTAGAGCAGTACTGTCTGATAGAAGTATATTGTGAGCCACATATGTGATCAATATATCCCAAATATCATTTCAGTATGTAATCAATATAAAAATTAAGGTACTTTACATTTTTGTACTAAATCTTTGAAATCCAGTATATATTTTATAATTACCTCATATCTCAATTTGGATGCTGTTTTCATTGGAAATACTTAGGATCGATATTTAGATTTTATAACCTATACTGAATATAGCAAATTATGATTCATGTACCCAGTATAGATTCACATACTCAAGTTGTTCCAGACATACTTAAGTTTTCCAATAGCTGAATTATGTCTCAGGTTTTAAATTTAGATTAACTAAAATAAAATTTTTTAAAATTCAGTTTTTCAGTTGCACTAGCTGTGTTTCAAGTGCTTAGTAGCCATATGTGGTTAGTGGCTATGGCTACTTTAGTGACAGTGCAACTCTAAAGTCTAGACTAAGTTAACTGTAAGCTCTAGGAAGGCAGGGACTTCTGCCTGGCACTGAGAAAGTGCTCAGGAAATATTTGTGGTTTGAAAATAATATCCTATTTTAAAGTTGGTAGAGTTGAAAGTGAGACTTAATAAATAAACTAATTTAATTGAATAGTCGGAGGGAAGCCAGGCTTCCAAAGCTACGTCTTTGTTTCCAAAATTTAATTATTCCTAGTAAGCATTTAGTGTGGAGCTATTTAGGCCAGAATGGCTATACATTTTTGGAGCATGCCTCTTTCCACTCCAATGGC